ACTAGTCAGAAATATATGCAAAATGTTTTACATTCAAACATGTAGTCAAATCACACCCGCCTCAAAATTTCAGTTCTTTTCATGCAATCCTAGAACTGTTAGCAAATACTGGCCTGCTGCCAATGTTAACACACATTGAAGAGATGACATAAGGTTGCTTAAAAAACTAAGCCCCAAGTTTTTACAAAACTGTTAATGGCATCAACTTCCACATGATGACAGCTAACACAAAAACAGTTCTACAGGCTTTTTTAGATTCTCATTTCTTCCCTATTTTTAAGGGCTCCTCTTTTAAGTTTCCCTACAATCCTATGCACAATCAACCTTTTGCAAGAGGTTTAGTTGTTTTGTTTCCTGAGGCAGACTGTTTCCAAATAAAAACTAATAAAGTTATTTCAAAGGAAATATTTTGTTAAGAATCATTAATACAAGTTAAACCCTATAGCTCTTGTTTCCATCACACTGCCTTCTGTGCCAGCTGAAGGAGACCTTTAACCATCCCACCAAAAAAGCCCACACAAGAAGCATAAGCACGTGAAAGAGAAAGCATCAAATTTGCTCTTTATTTTTTGAAATAAGTTTACTACCTACATGCCCAAGCAACTCACTGGGCTAACAAGTACTTACTAGAGAATAGATGTTAATGTATTAATCTCTAACAGAAAGGAAAACAAAGGAGAAATTTTATCTTCCAAAAAAAAAAAAAAAAAAAAAAAAAAAAAAAAAAAAAAAAAAAAAAAAAAAAAAAAAAAAAAAAGCAGTTTGCCAAATTTACACAACATGCCAAAGGCAGAGCTGAGAACAGAACTCTGGTCTCAGGAGTCCCAGATTCCAGTCTTTAGTTTACTCAAGAATGGTGTGTCTTGGACAACATTGATGCCTTAGTCTTTGAACTAGCTGAGTTTTTTGGAACCTTTCCAGAACAGACTTATCCAGCTCTAAGCATGTACCAAGGGAAAACATTGGCGTTTTATAAATTTTTTTATTTCTTTTTATGAAATAGATAGAAATGATCACTGTAAGGCATGTATCATCTGCGTGGCACTTAAGAGACTCTTCTTCCATTTAATGTACCATTTCTGCAGTTCATATCATGCAACCAAATTAATGCTGAAGATTCTCATTGCATAATCCCAGTGCGGATCATGCAGTTATTCCATAAAAGTCAAAGATTTATGTTGATGTCAGAAAGCTTGCACAACAGACTTTGTAGGCACATTTAGGATGTGGATTTCTCAATCACAAATGCTCAAGCTTCAAACTACAGCACACAGTGCAAAAAAAACCCACCCAAAACAACCAACCAAAACAAACACACTTGAACTTCTGGCAACTGTAAAAACTAATCCCATTCTCCCCTACTGATGTAAGCATAGCAGCAACTTGCCTTTATTTTCTATTCCAGCTGTCTTATGCAAAGTAATTAAATATATATATATATGCATATTTTCATCTGCAGCAGGAATAATTCAACACTGCATTAGCACTCCAGCAAGCAGTAGCACAAACATATATGCAACCTCATAATCGCAGTTTATTTCTTGTTGGCTTTAATCTTTGTGTCAGATGCTACTTTATTCCTGCACTGGTACACAGATCTTTCAAAACGCCTAAAAATAAGGAGCTTATACTGGAGAGGAAGACCTAAAATTGCTTCAGTTACAATTTACTGCAGTGTTTAAACATGACATGGAATATAATTGCATTTTTTAAAGCTGCATTTCTAATTACTTGTTTTACCTTCCCCTGTGAATTAAGCCTATTAAAGTTAAACCAAAACCAAAGATAAACCCCCACCCAAAAGTAAAAATATATTAAGTACTTCAGAAGTTTTGTGCTTAGTGAAATGGATTTGTATCTTATTTTACCTCACTCTGAATTACTGATCAAATCTGGTTATTAAACAAATTTCACCTTTTTCTTTGTGTTCCTGAATTGTTTTGACTGAAACATCAGATTCTCTCTAAATAATGTGAAAACATAACAGAGGAATCCTAATTTTGGAATTTTACATGAACTTCATGAGTGATCTGCATCTTCTGCGGGGAAAAGAATTTTTCTCTGCTGCTATTCGCAGCTTGTAATACAAACTATACAAAGATAAGCAAAAATAAACTATTGAGTCACATTTCTTTTGTCAGAAGACAGAGTTGTCTGGATAATTTAATTATGTGTATCCCTTTGGCAATGCCCCATGCATATTTAGATTTTATTTTACTATACTATATTGATGGGTTTGTTTTGACCTGGTAAAGCACCTGTCTTCGGCTCTAAATCCACTGAGAGACTTATATCTTCAAGTCAGTCTCACAGAAGACTTAGAAGACAATAATAAAAACCAAACATAAATGGGGAAAACAGTTGGAAGGTGTGTGAGAAGCGTCCATATGTAAGACATTAAACAATTTGAGAAGCACAATTAAGAAGTGGTATTCTTAATCAGAAGTTCCTAAATTACTGAAGAGGAATTCTGTACACAGAAGTTAGTTAGCATTTGGCAAAGCTAGAGCAGCAAAATTTGGTCAAAAGACCTTCATAGAAATATCCTAATATCTTTTTTTGCATCAGCTAATTTTCAGAAGTCTTCTGCAAAGTGAAATTAAATCTTCTCAGACAGTTAACTCTCACTTACAGAAATTAAGTTTCATGCTTATATTTTTTCCCCTGCAGCTCAAGTCCTTCCTCAAGGATTAATTTCTGGAGCCATCTACCAAATCAGGCTTCAGATTCTAGATCAGGTTAGAAAGTTCAGATTATACTTTACCCAAAAGTTTCTATACTTCTTTTAAGCTTTCTTTTCTGAAAGGTCAAGTAACAAACAGAAATGTAGGACCTGAGCACTCTAACCACAAAATTGTCAAAATTTGCACCTGTACCTCAATGAAATTAATGCTATAGAAGACTTTTTATCTAAATCTTTATATTCTAAATTTTATTGTTGCAATAGGTGCAGGAAAAATATTTTTATTACACATCCTGGTTTACATCTAGAAATACTGTTTTTCACTTTAGACCTTCAGTCAGTACAAAGGTCAGCTGATTTTCCAAGTTTTCTCCCTCGAAGTTGAAAACAGAACACAAACACACAAACTAAAACATTACCAGAATCTGCAAGTCACTGGGAAACAAATACAATATTCCAGTCCTGTAAGAGTATAATTCAGATGTAAACCCCTTGTAGAGCTCATAGTTTACAGTTATTTTAAATACATAAGCAAAAGACAATTCATAGCTTTTATTTGCACTACTTTGAAGGCTTTGGTAGGACAGACACACACATAACTTTTAGAATTTTAGAAGAATTCTACTATGGATCATAAAAAAACCTTATAAAAAAAAACCCTCTTCGTGTTTTCTAATACAGACATTCATAATATTCCAGCATCATGCATTCAAATCCATATTTAACTCGCATCCATCTCAAGACTTCTCACACATAACAACTGAGAGGGCATAGGGCACATGCCCAGTGATGTGGAACTCATGGGTATACACAAATGACTTCACAACAGAAGTGGAACACTGTTTCTGAAATCAGCTATAAGCTGCTGGGTAAATTCCTACAGAAAGGAAGGGAATATATCAACGGACACATGCACAAATAAAAATTATTCTTTGAAAGTAGTACTTTGCATAAGCATTACGCCTTAAGGTAAGTCTACAATACATTTATGGTCTCTAGGTGCTTTTCATACCTTTCAGGGAACAGAAGTTTGTAGTAATATCTTTAATACTTGTATTCAGCATTTGTATGCACATGGAGTAAAACCAAAGAGATTCTTCAGCTTATTTTAATTCTACTTTTCTCCTTAGAAATTACAATTTTAGTTCCACCAATATTAACATGTAAAGAAACTGGACTCTGAATTCAAAGACAAGACAAAATACCCCTCAGTCATCAGCTTTCCAATACATTAAGGTACACAGTGTGCCACAATAAATACTATTTTTAACTGGTAGACGGTGCATCAACTGTGCATAAATATGAACTACCTCCACAGTGAGACTGCCAGCAGTCTTCATTCTTAGTTCCAACGAAATGTCACCTTCATCCATTTTAGCATACATTTGAAGAATACTAGCAGGTCCCACAGTGCTTTTAAATTATCTATTTAGCTTCACAGAAATTATTTCTTCTCCTTCCTCTTTAGCAAAGATAGCCCGCCTTTCATTTCCTGAACAATGGTACTCACCTATGGCTTGAGCATCATACAAGAAAGATTATAGCACCAGAGCATTTTTTAAGTTATTCTAAGTAATCACAGCTACAATCACCTTAGAAACACAGGGCCTACCAGCCTTAAAAATAAGGTTTTAAACTCCTTGTAGTTTGACCCCAGCCTTTAACAAAGACACAATGTATTTTCTATGCAAGGGGGGATATAATGAAACTGTTCAATCAGCAATACAAGACCAGAGGTATTCTCACACTTCTCCCTCACCGTCCAAGGCATTTAAGATATCACCAGACACTTTAAATAACAGTACTTCAGCAAAAGAAAAACAAGTATTACGTTAATTTCTCTATTTAAAAAGACTCAGAGACCGGCCTCCAAAAGAGAAGCTACAATCTTCACAGAATAAACACCAAAGATGAGCCTGGCAATCAGGGATCACCTCCCACACACCCAGCTACCTGCCCGCGCTAGAGGGAATTCGGACACAAGGAACCGCTACTGCAGCAGTTTCCCCGGTCGGTCCCTGCCCGACCTCCGCTGTTCCCGGCAGCCAGAGCTCGCACCGCGGGACCCCGGCACGGGGCGCTCCCGGCCCCGGGGACCGAGGCCGCTCCCGGGGCGACGCGGCCGCTCCAGGCCCGGCCTTCGGAGAACGTACCCGGCCGCCTCCCCCCGGGATTTAACACCGACCCCGACAGCCCGCCTCTCCGCAGCCACATCACTGCCCAGGCGACGGCGAGAAGCGAAGGGAAACAACAAAGATAAACCGAGAGGGAGAGAGAAAAGGCGGCGAGGGACCCGGCGCGGCGGGCGGTCGCTCACCTTGGTGAGCTGGGCGATCTTCTTGCTCATTTTGAAATGCAGGTCCGGGCTGTGCTCGCCGCCCAGACCACCCTGGGTTGAGCCGGAGCCGAGTTTTCCCGCGCCGGGCGCCGAACCGCCGCCGTAGCCGTGCTGCGGCTGCTGCCAGCCCATCCCCGGGGTCGCCATCTTCACCGACCGGACCCGCACCCCCCCCGCCACCGCCGCCGCTCGGGCTCCACCGGCACCGGCCCTACCGCGGAGCCGCGTCGAGGCCGCGAACCGCTGCCCGAGGCGGCGGTCTCCCTCCCCGGGACCGGCCTCGGGCGCTTCCTCCTGCCGCCGTCCCCACCAGCCGCGCCGGGCTGCGGCCTCAACCTCTCAAGGCCGCTGCGAGAAGCCTCTCCCCGTCCGTTGCGGCCGGCACCGTGCGGGGAAGGCCGGTACTGTTCGGTTCGGTCCGGTCCGACCCCGAGGACGGCCGGAGCGGCGGCGGTGCAGCAATCCTGCCCGGTTGCCGGGCTGCCGCCGGGCTGTTTACGCCGCGCAGTCCCGCGTCACTCGGCGGCCCCGCCTGCCCGCCCGCCCTCGGAGCAGCTGGGGCCGCGCCTCCCCTCAGCCCTGCTGCCAACGGCCGGGGCGCGCTGCCGGCCCGACCCCGCCGCCGCCCCCCAAGGCCGTTAGCGGCGGCGCCGGGAGCCGTTAACGGCTGGTGCTGCGCCTCCGGCCCCTTCCGCCGTGGGGCAGCCGCTGCCGCCGGCTCGGGCAGGGGCAGGGCGGGAGGCGGGTAGAGGTTTTAGGCAGGGTCGCCCCTCAGAGGCTTGGGGCAGGCAGGCCCAACCGCCTGAAGCGTTCCCCTCAGGGAGAGAGAGGCCCGGGAGGGCGCCGGGGGCACGGCGGTCTGGTGTGTGTGAAGGAGTAGCGTGGGTGAGGTCCTGCTGGCCCCTGAGCATCACTTGGAACTTGCAATTGACGGAAATTGGTGGAATAGTAAATTACAAGAAGAGATCTGTATAACAGAGCCATGTGCCTCCCTTGTTCATAGAGATTCATGCCTGTGTAGCATGATATATAACCAGCTGAACATAGAATCCTCTAGGTTGGAAGAGACCTTTAAGGTCACTGAGTCCAACCATCAACCTAACACTGACAAAACCACCGCTAAACCATGTCTACCCATCTTTCAAATACCTCCAGGGATGGCAACTCAACCACTCCCCTAGGCGGCCTGTTCCAATGCTTGATAACCCTCTTTGTGAAGACATTTTTCCTAATATCCAATCTAAACCTCCCCTGTCACAACTTGAGGCTGTTTCCTCTTTTCCCCCTAGGCGGCCTGTTCCAATGCTTGATAACCCTCTTTGTGAAGACATTTTTCCTAATATCCAATCTAAACCTCCCCTGTCACAACTTGAGGCTGTTTCCTCTTTTCCTGTTGCTTGTTACTCCAGAGGAGAGGCAGACTCGACCTCTCTACACCCTCCTTTCAGGTAGTTGTGGAGAGCAATAAGGTCTCACCTCAGCCTCCTCCAGGCTGGACAACCCCAGTTCCCTCAGCTGCTCCTCATAAGACTTGTGCTCTAGACCCAGCACCAGCTTCATTGCCCTTCTCTGGACCCGCTCCAGCACCTCAATGGCTTTCCTGTAGTGAGGGGCCCAAAACTGGACCCAGTACTCGAGGTGGGGCCTCACCAGTGCTGAGCACAGGGGGACGATCACTTCACTGGTCCTGCTGGCCACACTGTTCCTGATACATTCTCACAAGCCCGAGCCTAGCAAACAGACGTTAAATTGTTAAGGAGGTGGCTATTCTCACGTACGCTACTCAACAGAGAGTACCAAGGACTTTAAAAGAGGAGTGCAGAGGCTGTTAATCAAGAAATCATACATGTCCAACCACGTTAATATATATATATTCTCACAAGGCCAGAGCCTAGTGAAGAGACATTAAATTGCTAAAGAGGGTGGCTGTTCTCAGGAGTATGGAGAAACGTATTACCCAGAATTTGCAAGTGATAGAGATAAGTGGAATAGTAGATTACAAGAAGAGATCCGTATTACAGAGCAGTGTGCCTCACTTGCTAATGGAGATTCATGCTTATATAGCGTGATAAATAACCAGCTAAACATGAACTGCTGTTTTATCACAATAGTAGGTGGTAGGGGCAAGCAGTGTCTTAAAATTGGAGTAAGTAGTAAATTAGATAAGCACTTGACTGCACAATTACTTCAGGTTTTGGGGGAAGAATCAACACAGTGCCCACAGATCGTGGGGTGACTTGGCTGGGTGAAGGGGGAGGCACTTGCTTGAACTGGCCAGTCTCTTCCATTGCTACAGACACCGCCCCTGCAGTTACGGACCCATGATCTGATGAGTGCTGAACAAAGGTCCCCTCCACCAGAAGGAATTCACAGCTGAATTTAGCACATCCTTTAGCTTGGATTTGACTGCTCTCTTCTTCTGTTTTCATCCTGTGCAACTCCTGAGAATAACCACCCTCTTTAACAATTTAATGTCTCTCTGCTAGGCTCTGGCCTTGTGAGAATATAGATATATTAATGTGGTTGGACACATTTGGTTTCCTGATTAACAGCCTCTGCACACATCTTTTAAAGAGTCCTTGGAACTCTCTGCTGAGTAGTTTATCTTTTTACTAATTTTTTTCTGCTCTAAAAATCTCTTATTTGCCTGCATTCTTTATAGGCAGACAGAAATATCAGAGGTAAACTACAAAAATATATGGCTAAATCTGTTCTCAACAAGGGCGTGTAGAAAAGTATTACTTACAATTTGCAAATTATAGAAATAGGTGGAATAGTAAATTATGAGAAGAGATACATATTACAGAGCCTCACTTGCTAATAGAGATTCATGCTTATATAGTATGATAAATAACCAACTAAACATGAACTACCAGTGCAAACCTCAGGTCATGGGGCAAATGGGATTCTTTGATGTATAGATAGGACACTGTCCAGAAGGTACAATTAGACGTTGCTACTTTTGTACAGATTGTGAGAATACAGAGAAATGCTTGCATCCAGGTCTGGGGTCTGTAATTTCTGTGTGTCATCACACTGGAAAGGTGCTCAAAAAAGGTCCAGAAGAACTACAGAGGTTCTGGAAAAAAGTCTCATATATTGAAACGCATAGTAAACCCAAACTGTTTTGAATGGCAAGGAGTCTAAGAAGTGATTTAATCCCAGTCTTTAGGTAGCTGTGTTGCCTTAAGCTCAAAATTTGCATTGTTCAGGAAATTCTGACACTGATTATTTTTTTTTCCTTCTGAAGTGGCCCATTCTGGCAACAGAGAACAAAGGACAGATGGTGCCTACCCAGGCAGTGATTCATGCAGATGAAATACAAGGGGAAAAAAGAATATTAGGAGCATCTGTATCAAATCTGTGTTCATAGATGATACCCATGAGTAGCACATACTGTTAACTCAGTTTTATCAAATTAAAAAATAATTCAGTGGCAGAGGAGACTGATTTTTCATGTCTAGGAAGGTCAAACTACTAATTAAAGCAGTATAGTGATTGTGAAGACTTGGTTACAGTTAATGGTTGTGTCTGGCTGATTGTGTGACCTTAAGCAAGCTTCTTAATTCTCATGCAAAGGGCACTTTCTTTAGTGTACTTAATAATGCCTCTGTTGTTAAGGAATAGCTGTCTCAACTTATTTTTGCTCATAGAAATCTCAAAAGTTACAGAAAGTATTATTTTAATTTCAATCTGTGCGTTTTAAATTTTGGATAGACTTATTTTTCAAGCAAACTAGAGTGGTTTGGGTTTATCAACATTTCTTCTGAGACAACTCACTGTTTTATTATTTCAGTCCTTCTGAGAGGTGTGCATATTTGCTGTGGTTCATATTGGCCCCAAATCACTATTCTGAAGCATTGTGAAGTGACTTGTATCTGCTAGGACAAAACAGTCAAATATGTTTAAATTTTGTCTCCTTCTTATACTGAGTTGCTAAATACTAGGTTTTGTCTAGGTGCTTTTAAATAATAATAAAAAAAATATTAAATATTCTTTGTCAATATTTCATGTGCCTTTTAGTAGTAGTTTTCATATTTAAATTTTTTCAAGCTTCTCTTTACACATTTTGTGCCACTAGAGCTCAGATGGTGACTGCTAAGAAGCTCTTTTCCATTCAGGTCTGCATGTGTAGCCACCTATTTTCTTTAAGGTTGCTGCTGAAAAGAAGCTTTGTGCAGCAGAACAGTCAAGACCCTGTGTTTTTTTTTCCTTGGTGGGATTTCATGTCTCATCAATGTAGTAGGATCTGTAGTTCCAAAGGTCTCCCAGGGCTTGGACTGAGGGCCGTTCAAGAGGCAAATGAGGAGACAGCGCTCAGGGTTTGCTGAAGGGTACAAAAGCAACGGGGTCTTGATGCAAAAAGCAAAGTCTTGATGTGTATCATCGCTGCGAAAGCGAAAGTGAAGCCTTTAGTGTCTCTATTGCCATGGGCTTACATAAGTGACATACAATTTGTATCTACCCAGAGTCTCCATGCCAGTATAGGCACTATGTAGGAGTGCTCTTGGGATATGTATATGGAAGATTTTTTGTAAATTTAGAAATAGTGAATACATGTTCTAAGATTACATTTTTATGTATCTGATAAGCATATATAACAGCATAAGTGCAAGACAAACAATGGAACTGTAGCTTTGCTTTTTCTGCTGTAAAATCAACATCAATGCCTATGTGGAAATCTACCCGTGCTTTTTTGTATTCTACTGCCTATCTATTTATCTGATACCAGAACACATGAATATCAAGTATGTGTGTATGTTTTCTAAAATTATGAAATACCCTTACTGAGGTTTTCAAAAACAGGAAAGAATTTCATTTACATTCAATCTGCTGGGAATATTATGGATTATAGATTTCCATGTGGACAAAACCCCCTTTATTTATCGCATCACAGCTTTGACAAAGATAAATGTGTGCAATCACTGTATGCCTTATTTTCAAGCCATAGGCACAAAACTTCCTCTCTCATTCTTTATAGACAGAAAGTGTTACAAGGTCTAAGCCTGCTTTGTGATAATGCTTTGTGACAACTCCGAAGATGTCAGAAAGTCGGCAGCTTTTACCAAAAGGACAGTTAGCAAGAAATTTGACCTACTGGTCTTTGCAGGTTTCTGCTGTTTAATTTGTAAGCTTACAGCTACAAC